CGTAAAGAAAAATTGGAGAAAATGATGTTATACTTTCTGAACAGTCGCCAGCACGTCTTTCGGCGAAAAGCTGCATGCCATTTTGCATTCCTGGCGCCTTTTTCGAGACAACTTCCTCTGTTGGGGGACTATTTTGTGGGACAAGACGAGAAGACGCTCTGTCTCTTGCATTAGGGTTCTCCCTTTCTTCGTTCCTTTGAATTCTTGCAGCCGTACAAGTCGTGAGGGAATTTCTGGCATTTTTTTCTCAGGGGAAAAAAAAAAAAACAAGCCGTGCGAATTGAAAGAGCGCCACAGCTACTACATAGGATTCGTCTGCCATGCAAGGAACGGCGACATTTTTCAAACTGAGCCATGTTGATGCGTGTCTCGATTCGTCAGTGAGAAAGAATTGCCTCCATTTGGCGAAAACTGCACGATAAGAGGATATCTGGTTCCAACAGATGAGGATTCCCTCGATGAACGGCAGGTTTCTGGCCCATAGCATATCGCAGTGAGGAAGCGAGAAATTCAACCTTTAATGCTCCAACATTCGGACGAGGGGAGGACAGTGGAGGAGAGAGCGAAGAGAGTCGCGAATGGAGCCCATCGGGCTCCATTCTATAACCATAAAGGCATCGCACCAGGGCCCAATGGCTGTGGGCTCCGTGATCGCGAGGGTATACCCTCATTCCCTTCGATATCGCCGTCTTGAGCGGCCTGCACCGATTCGCATGAAGTGCCTCTCGCCCATTTCCATCGTCGATGTAGCCGGAAATGAAAAATGACGTCCATAGCTTTTTAAATTTAAATTGAATGGACTTCAACATCATCATCCGTTATTTTATTTGATTCGAAAATGGAGGATCGGATATATTCAGTCACTTGGATAAGCCATTTGTCTCCATTCCTCCTCCAGAGTGGGTCAGGTTGTTCCGAATTTCTCACATTTCTTAAAACCTGGTAACCTCTGTCGCGTTCGTATTATTTTCTTTCAAACCGGGTAGATTGGTCATTCCAGGATGGTTTTTTGTTCCAAGTAATGCACACTCAGTAGAATATTTTTTTTCCTTACCAGAATATAACCACTCGAGCCGACACATTATATTTGAAACGGGGTAGAAATGTAGGCAATACAGCTTGGAGTAGTCAACAGAACGACATCATTATGGAGCCAAGAAGGGGGGGAGGGAAGCTTTGCATTGCATTCCCACCGAGATAAGGTTTACTAATGAGAAGATCAACTTTCTTTCGCATATCTTTCTTCCCAGAGCGCCTTCAAGTCAAGCAAAAATCTCATAACCATATCCGGGGCAAAGAGCCTGCACTCAAGAAGCTGAATACATCATCGGGCTTGTAACCCTGACCTGAATAAAAGAGCCAAAATTAAAGAGGAATATGGCCTCATCCGCGAAGTTCCGCTCCAACGGCTTGGGAAATAGGGAACTCAGCCACACCGAGCGACAGAGGCCCGCCGAAGCCAGGGCGACTGCATCCTCCCATTTGCAGACCGACTCGGGAGTCGGGCCGATCAGCTTCCCCTTCGTGATTCTGGGACTTTTGCTTCTCAGCGCGCTGAATCGTGAACCGAGACTCGAAACGTGGGGAATGTTCCTAAAAATGAAGGTTTCATTGGCTTGCACCCGTCGAGGGAACCGGTGAATCTCACTTTTTTTTTATTATTTATTTACGAAGGAATAAAATTCCAAAGAGCTCGACTGCAGCACGCGAAGAACGTGCCGGGGAAAGGAATAATCTATCACGAACTCCCCGAGGAAGTGGGGGCACGGATAGCGAGGGAAGTCTGGAAATCTCCACTATATCAGAGAAATATCGCTTTCGTGCAGTTCGGGGACGAGGAAATCGAGTTATGAATTATAAACGTGGGATGCGCCATTTTGGGATCCTCAGGGGGAAAGAACGAAGAGTCACTATTGATTGACCCCCAACTTCTTAACCTTTGCCGTTGTCTTCCCTTTCTCTTCGATCAGTTCAGCTTCGAGGTCTCATCCGAGTGGGTTTGAAATGTTATTATTCAACTAATCCCCCCCCCCCCCCCCTTCGCCGAACAAATATCGTGGCCGATCCCTTCAACCCTTTAACTGTCACGTAACGAATCAGAGAAACGAATGCTTTTATTGCTATCAACGCGCGTGCGAGCATTGACTTTCCTTCTCGTTACTGGTGCCGTCACGTATGCATGATCGATATGAGACCTGAAACGAATTCATCATTCATTGAGAATTTCGTGGTCTTTCGTACCGCCTGCAGAACGAGCCTGCACACCGCCCGAACGAGGCCCGGCAGCGAAAGGATTAATGCACGACAGACTGATGGAAACGGATACTACAGACGTCCTTTCATTTGTCGGCCCCCCCCCTTCCCCTCCCCTCCGTCTCTTCCAGGAATGACTGAACGGTGTCAGTCGGATGACGTCACCGTCGAGTCTTCACGTGCGGTTTCTCAGGTTTCCCGACCGAGCTGGCGGAGACCCAACGTCTCGTCGCGAGAGGCGGTGCCGCCCCTCATGTGCGATTTGTCAAGCTCACGTCATGAGATTCTCCCGAAGATCTCCTCGGATGTCTTCACAGCTGATAGATTTCACGTTTCCTTGTCTCCTCTTCATTGTAAGAGGTCTTTCCCCTCCCCCCACCCCCGCTTCATCTCTGCAATTGCTCTTTTTCCTTTCCCTCCCTTATCTTCATGAAGAAATGACCCGAGAGAGGGAGGGGAAGAGGAAATAACGGGAAAGAACTCGCGGAGATTGAATGAAATTCCGAACCCTTAAATCTTTCATCTCTTGCTCTGAATCGGAAGTTCGCTTTGCAATTACTCAGGTGGAGACGTGCCCCCCCCCCACCCCCAACCCCCCCGCCCCCGACTCCCCTGACAGCTAGATTGCATAATAAAACATCTGGGCAACGGCTCGCATCACCAGTGGCAGAAAAGCAGATACATGCGAAAGGCATCGGCAGATACAATCGAGTCTTGAGATTACCATACCTCATCTTCAGGAATGAAATCTCAATGTTTGAATTGTTTGCCTCGGCCAATCCCCCCCCCTACCTTTTTCGGGATTGTTCCCGTCTCTGGTGGGGTTCTTCATCCGTCACAGGAGGGAATCTCTGGAAGAAGTACTTTCACCCACTACTCGCATTTCACCATTTCTTCTTTTTTTAAAAATGGTTTTCACGCTTTCATGCGAAGAAGGGTACTCTCGCGATCGATGCCAACCGGAATCGGAACCGGTTTCTTCTCCCTCCTTACGATAACGGATGAGACGGGCGTATCGTATGTACGTGTGCAACACCGGCCCTCGCCCAAATACGGGCACGAAAAAAAGTCGTCCGTCCGCCGCATCCATCATCCGCGATTCCCTCTTCGGGCATCGCGGATGTTCCCGCCCGTTCTCGCACGGAACCAGCGGGAAGGCATCCAGAATTCCTCGCCTCGTTTCGACGTCGACGACGGCGCGAATCCCCGTCATTAATCACGCTCTTGTTTACTGCGGGGAAAAGGAATCTCTGCGACGAACCGCAGATTCCGAGAAAAACAATGTTCCCGCAGCCTGCAGTGTCTCGGCGGGAATCGATGAGGTTTGCGCCGCGCATGGAGTCAGGCGTTATGTAAATGCCTCTAAATGCTTGTACATGTCTATAAATGTCTGTAAACATTTTTCCACTTAACGCGTGTCGGTCTTCGAGGCATGTCACAGGTCTTCCAACTGAATCTGCAACGCATATTTAAATATTAAAAAACACATACTTTCCCGGCGGACAGCCGAGGTGTCTCCACGTGTCCCGCGATATTTATAACTCGCCAACTCCCTCGTAAATTTTCTCTCCCCGTCAGAATTCCCAGAAACTTCAGCCAACGGCCCTCTTTAGGTGACGAGCGCCGAGTCGAGATGACAGAACGAAGAGATTTAATGCAATTCGGTCGACTCCCACTTATTAACCCAGAGGTCCATCCTATAAGTCTGAAGAAACGTGACATGCATTCGCTCATCGCTCTTTGTGACAGTGCCGGATCCGGAAAAAAAAAATCCGTTGGTTTTTCTTGCGATACTCACGGATCTGTGAAGCAGATCGGGCGATATCAATTATACATGAACCCACATTAGTTCCAGAAGGCAAGCTCAGTCGTGCCATTGCAGATGATCATGTCGTCTACTTCATCATAGCACCAAAACGTATGACCGTTGGGGGGGGGGAAAGGAAATCAGGAGCCAAACAAGAAACGGTTCATTCCATCGGGAGAGCAGGCACCAAGACGAAATATTAGGCGACTTCTAAAGAACGACAAGATTCCTGAGAAGGGCGAGAATAATGGAGACCCTGCTCTCTGATATTGTCGACAGAGTGGTTTGGAAGACAAGAAATGAGATGGAACCGGCTCTGAAGATTTGATACGAATGCCTCGAAGGTGACCATTACCTAGTATGGCTACTAGGCCGTGGTTCTTGGAAGCTTTTTCCCTCGTCTTTTCGATGGACTTTTTTTTTTTTTTTAGAAAGTGCTGAACATATATCGTATACGATCACTTCCATTTAAAAACAGGTCTACTTCTGAACAAAACCTATAAGTCCATCCCAGCCTGCATCTTGAAAGCTGCCCGTTCTCGAATGCCAAATGTCTCCGGAATTCTGGCAATGTGACGTCGAAAGTTGCAGCCGGCACGCAAATGGAGAGGAATGAACCTTAAGTGCCCTCATTCTTCAAGGGGAATTTAGGGAGAGGGGATCGAATGGTCTTGGACACGGAAAAAAGAGAGAAGCATGCCACGACAACCGTAGACATTGATTAGGGCGACACAGACGGCTTCCCCTTGCAGTTCCCCCTTGATTAGCGCGATCTGCGCCTTTTAATATATATTTATAGACATCTAAAGATTCTAGTTCCCTTTCCCATCGCTTAAGCTCCCTTGATTAAAGCCGTTGAGATGCGCTGGAAGTCCTGCTCCATCCCGTCCTCTGACGACCGCTGGTAAAACCGCGTTTTTTACTTCTTTTTCCCTAGATTATGGCGGATGAAGGGACATTGGACTCGGACGAAAACGTCACCCTCGGACTGAACCACTCGAACGCGGAAAGCGTCGACCAGATCCCATGGAACGAGACGGCGGACGAGCTCGCCGCCTACATAAAATTCACCATCCACGGCATCCCATTGCCCATCGTGTGCACGTTCGGGATCGTGGGGAACATAATCTCCGTTCTGATCCTGTCGAAGCGGCAGATGCGCTCCAGCATCAACTGCTGCCTGTTGGGCTTGGCGGCGTGCGACTTGGTGCTACTCTTCACCTCTCTCTGGCTCTTTGCCATCCCGGACATCTACATCTACACGAGATGGTTCCGGTTCTACGTCTGCGACGTGTATCCGTACACGACCCCGTACGCCTATCCGATCTCATTGATTGCTCAGACGTCTTCGGTCTACATCACGATGACGGTGGCCGTGGAGCGGTACATCGCGGTGTGTTGGCCCTTGAAGGCGCGGAGTCTGTGCACTTTCGGCCGCGCCCGACTTTACGTGATTGCCATCGTGATCTGTGCGACGCTTTACAACATTCCTCGCTTCTTCGAAGTCACCTGGGGGGAATGCCCGGCGTCGTTCGTCAACGGCACGAGGTTGACCGAAGACTGTGTCATGTGCGTCCTGCCCACCGCCTTGCGGAGTGATCAGATATACGTCAAGGTGTACATCTGGTGGATGTACTTGATCGTCATGTTCATCCTTCCCTTCCTTGCATTGACTGTGTTCAATCTGCTCATCTACGTCCAGGTTCGACGCGCCAACAAGGAACGCCAGCGGCTGACTTCCACGCAGAAGCGCGAGATCGGGCTCGCCGTCATGATCCTCTGTGTGGTGGTCGTGTTTTTCATCTGTAACACCCTTGCGATGGTGATCAACATCCTGGAAATGCTCAACGATCCCATCATCAACTACTTGACCCCCATCAGCAACCTCCTGGTGAACATCAACTCTACCACCAACTTCATCATCTACTGCATCTTCGGCCAGAAGTTCCAGAAGCTCCTGCTGGAAATGTTCTGCTGGTGCTGCCCCGAATCCCGTCGGAAGGGGAGCGCCCAGGAAGACGGCACCTACACCCACGTCGACACCCACCAGCTGATGACTTACAGCGGGAACCGGTCGAACGGGAACAAGGGGAACGGGTCGATGCAGTTCACCACCAGAAGCCCACTGCTGTCGGAGGATCTGACGACCCCGAGGATCGAAGCGGGATCCATGTCCTTCACCCCCGGGAACTCGCGGCGGAATTCCAGCCTGACGACGGTCAATTCCCGCAGCACTTCGCCCTCTGACTCTCGCGTGGATCGCTCTGCTCTCAAGGGCGACAAGAAAAGCAGGGACAGACTCACCGTTCGCACGTGAAACCAAGCACATCGGCTTAGCTTAGGGTAACTGACATGCGGTCGGGAAAAATGACGACAAAAAAAAAGTCCGTCAAAGACAGGGAGACTTGCCTGATGTCTTCATACGCTTCTTTGGCAATGCGACCCCTTTCCGTCCAGTGTCGGCTTAGCGTTTCCCCATGGATACACTGCACCTGATTGGGAGTGTGTGTGCATCGTGTGGTCATATCGTGAAGTTCGAGAGCGTCGCCTCCTGATCGTCACCACATCGTATATAAGAAAATTTTCTGTGCTTCTCATTTTGATCGTGCTGCAATGCGACTCAATGCGACTCAAACTTGAGACGTTTCGCGAATCACGTGTGTCTGGGCGAGCGTTCGCGACGAGCATGCACTCTTTTGTCCCTCGAGCTAACATCCTCCGTGTGTCGTCGGCGTCCGATGTCTTTCGTTGGAGGCCTTGTT